GGTTGGTTGGTTGGTTGGTTGGTTGGTTGGTTGGTTGGTTGGTTGGTTGGTTGATTGGTTGGTTGGTTGGTTGGTTGGTTGGTTGGTTGGTTGGTAAGTAGGTATTGGTAAGTCGCGTTGTGTTGCGAGGTTAGCGTGCGTCACGTCTGATGAATTCTGGGGATGTTGCGTATCGTGTAATATATTCTAGTGGTTTTTTTTCTGGCACCTTTTTCATACTCTCAATATTTCTCGAGATTTATTTTCAACTTCAATATTTAAGTTTGTAGTGTCCTTTCTACACTCCTGCTTCATCTACTTCAACATTATTCTATCTAGCAACTCTTACGATGTCTGAACAAAGCTTGGAAACGCTTGAGAAGGGTATTTTTTCTTTGGCTTGCTCAATTAATTGATCATTTTAACATTGATGATCAACTTCAGACAAAAAAAAAGCGAGGAAGTAAATGTTTCAGTAGGATGTAAGTTAAAGACTGATAAAACTCTCAGATGCTGAACTTGAATAGCATTGTTGATACATGGTATTGCTGAGAAATTTCTAATTGGAGGACTACGAGTACCACTATTGTACCTGGTCGCGGAAATGAATAATATTTAACCACTTTATTAACTCCGATAATCAGTCACTGGAACTCGTTACCTGTTTTTTGTCTAGAAATGAATTTATGAAAGAGAAGATGCGATTCCCAGAACAATGTCACGAAATTTCGTTTTGGATGATTTTGATTTTAAAAATGAAGATTTACATGGTTTATGGGATCACCAATACCACGTGCTCTTTAAATAGTTTTCAAGCAGATTTCGGGTTTCCCGATTCTCCTGAATAAATAATCTTGATGCAGAACTAGTCATCTTTAAGTACATTTACCATCTTTAATGAAGAGACAAAAAAAGAATAAGAATAATATCGAACATTTAACATACTACAAACAGCAGATGCTAATGTAAATATTGCGTTCTTCACATGAACATGGTAATTTAAAAGATTTCCGCGTCCAGTTTCAACACTTCACGAAGTCTTTCCTAATTTAGAAACACTTCTACGCCAAATCGAAGACGAGAATTACGATTCGGACAATCACATGACGCGACTACGAGCTGATGATTGCCCCTTGTATTCCAGAAAAGTGTTCGTCGGTGGCCTGCCTTACGACATTGATCCAGGCAAATTCAAACAATTTTGCCTGTTTTACTGACTCTCATATTTTTTACTGCTGTATGAAGCAATTAAATTTTTTCGTTTGCTTTATACACTGTGACTTCAAATTTTAATGGATAGCCACTGAATTTCCAGATGTAATCGGTAACTTTTTCGAGCAATACGGCACAAACATTATCGATTGGCCACATCGTGATTGCTGCAACGTGATGGCTCCACCAAATGGTTCCTTTCATAATATAGCTTTATTCATATCGTTTTTGTAAAATATGATAAAGCTGTTTTATACGTAAGGTTATCTAAATTCATTGGACAGCAGCAGTCAGTAAGGCAGTTTTCTTGTAGATTTAGAAAAAATTGATAGAAGAACAGTTACAAAAAACAAGCTAGTGAAAAAATTTCGGAACAAATATTTCAGGATATGCATTTGTCATATTCGATCATGAGCATGCGGTACGCCGACTTATTAATGCGAGCGATGTGAAGCAAGGCAAACTGCTTGTCGATATGAAGGACGGTGAGACGGAGATTAAAACGGTTAGTTAAGTGTCTTGAATATTTTTGCTAATATCTCTGTTAAAAGTTTGACTCAATATTATACTTTGCTGTGTCGCGACTAACTTTTTGTTGCTGTACGTTCTCTTTTTTCTTGACAATAGCATCCGTTTTTTAGTGCAAAAAATGAAGAATCCTCTATATGGCCGCAATTCTGAGCCTTTGTATTTCCCACCTAAATATCAGACTCGAAGTACTTATTAAATACTTATTAAACATACTACGACCAAGACAGCAAAATTTATTTTCTCGAATGCAACTGAACTGCTTCCATGAGACCACGGGATAAAGTCATTTCGCATATGGTTTCGAGCAACTAACCTAGATCAAATCATTTTCCCGTGTAGTCGTGGTTTGTTGCTAGTGAGAGTGAGACACAATAATGTGCCTTTCTGTGAATATCAGCATTGTTCGTTACTGTCCGAGTTTCAAGAAAAAGTGATAACGAGCATGATTTTGTACCATCATTTCCAGTTTACAAACATTATGCATACAAGTTAATAACAGATGATAAACGAGAGATACATGACCATGTATCTCTTGCAGCTTTTAGTTTTTAAAAGGTTGATTTATGAAACTGTGGTGTCGTGGCAGCACAAATGCAACGGCAAAGAAATTAGGACCGAAATTCGCGATAGCATGATCAGATAAATGAAGATTTGCCCTCACTTCCTGTTGGCGCTGGAGATCCAACTGTGGGCGTTGCCTTTTCCGGCAAAGGATTTGGGGTATGGCTTTTGTCAAACTCCGATTTTGATTCATAGTCCTTTTTGTTTCGCTTTGCTAATGCGAACATGCGAAGCAACAGCAGTTAGTATCACGTTCGTTAAAGAATGATGGTCAGCAATAACCGAGCCAAGTATGTATCGACACAAGGTTATTCATACTTCAGTCATTCGTCAGAAAAGATATATGTGCCGTGTAACAACGATAAAAGTTAAGGGGAGAATATACTGTCAATTCAAGCAGCTTAAAACAAATGACGACAAAGCCTTTGATGATGTGAAAATATTCATTGTTTATGAAATGAGATGCGAGAACTCAAGATTGAAGAAATAGAGATGATACTCTCGGTCGGTGCGACTGGAAGAGCTCTGTTTCCACTGTTTCTGCTGATGCAGTTGAATTGTTCTGTGACTGTTATAATGTATTTTCTAGCTATCCTTTTTTGCTCAACTGCATGGCATATTGAAAATTCGTTTCTCCGTTTTTTCCTTTTCCTCAAAATTTTCGAAGTAGAAATTTTGACACTACAGTGCGGCAATTTAATTGTTTTTAATAAAGTATTTTGGATAACCAAATGCAAAGTACATTACTTGATATCCTGTCTTACTTATGTCAGTTAGGTTGTTGTCTAATCCAAATTAAAAGAAAATGAAAGACATATAACTTAATATGGAACTCCCGTTTATTGCGGCTTCAGCAGCAGATATGATGTTTAGGAATTGTGTAGAATTGTTCCACACTTGATTAGCAGAAGTGGTGCAAAATTATGACTTATTTGGTGAAGATTTTTCTAAAATTCTCATGGTGATGATAGAGATTGTATTGTGCAAGGGAGATTATCATGAATTTCATCGTGTCTATCACTTATTGAGTTAGGTATTTGCAGAATTTTGCACTTTCCTCTAATGAAATAATATCAGAAAGATATGATTTTTTCAGAACATTCGTCATTTTACAAATGATATTTTCGAGGGTTAGGTTACATATCTAAAGAATTTCGATTTTCCAGTTTTGCTAGATGAAGCTAAATAATGGTGGTCAAAAGATAGGTTGAGGATGTTGAAGTTCTTTTTTAATAATATCTAATAACAGGTACAAGTGAAACCTTGGAGTTTGAGCTGTTTGAGTTGTACTCTGATGGGTACTATACCATATGTTGATCGGTACGCTATTTTCGTTGGTGGTGTTCCGCGCACTACGACTGCAAGTAACTTTTTCTTTTATTTAGATGTTATGTTAAGGTGCTAAAACTGGAAATATTCGTAAATATCGAAAGGTTGTGTAATGTTTGTAATCATTTGTACAGTATCAATTGTACGTTATATAAATATTATCTGATCTAATTCAACTTACAGTGGAATTGGCACAGCTTTTCCAACAAGTGATCAGCGGTGTAGTTGAAGTGACTTTGGAAGTTGAACGTCATACAAATTACCCGAGAGGGTCAGCACGAGTGGTGTTCGGGACTCGTGAAGCTTATCTTGTAGCTCTCGCTATGGGACGCTTCACATTATTCACGCTTCGAGAGCGAAGAATCGTAAGTTTTCTTGGAACGAAAATTCTTCAAATTCGCGAAATTTTCGCCATCATATATTAGGTATCAGTAAACATCAGTTTTGAAATTAGTGGAAAAAGTGGCCATTGTAAACGGCGTTGCCTGATTATCCAGCATTTCCTGATGTATCTTCACTATGCACGAGGCTTCTTAATACGCTGCTTCATTCCGTTCAACTTGTGTATTGCTTAAATTCTCAATGACAAATTGTTTTGCGCAGCTTATCGAGATGTATTTCCTTTGGAGCTTTCAAGGATATTTTTTACCTGGAAGCTTCCAAAAATATGTCCCACTGTGTTCCGACATCGCCATTTCACAGCCATTTTCATACGTTGAAATATATAGAAATACAAAAACATTCAGTAGTGTATTCGAATTTTTTTAACAGATGTAACTTTTTTAGCTGGAAATGAGACCATATGTGCTCGATGGCATGGTATGTGAAATATGCCATGAAGCTGCTGGCATTTATTTGTGCCCCGAACTCCCTTGTATGCTCTACTATTGTGTTCCATGTTGGTTCATGGCCCACCAAAACGATGATATGGACGATCACAAACCGGTATCGAGAAGAACCCTTGGACTTTTGAAGGGCTGGAGACAAAATCAGACCCTTTGTCGTTATGGCAATTGCATGCCCAGTGGATACTACTATTTCTAGCAACAAAATTCACCTTCGGAACCGAATCGTGTGCCCTTCTTTGGCGGTACGCATAAACTTCATTCATAGAAGAGGATTATTAAAATACCCTTCTACTTAGCTGTAGGAGGAAGAATATAAACACAAATGGTAAAAGTTAAGACATACTTATCCTGAGAGCGGAATTAGTTGCAGATTCCCGACGCTGGCGATATCATTTTAGGAGCATATGCCGCTGGAATTATCTCCTACAAATATTTTTGTAATCATGATTGTAAAAGGATTGTTCATTTCAACTGAATTTACTCACTACTTTTTTCAGGATATTTTGAGGGGCCGTCGTGACATCCACACTGAACGGAAATTGCTCCCATGCCTCCAATACAGACGTCTTTTGTTCTCGGGCGTTGTTCATTTTGTCAGTTTTAAAAGTTGAATTTTTAATCATGATCTACGAAAATATTCTGGGGTCCTCTCTACTTTATTTTTCTGCCACTTCAATATGACTTCCTTCAACTGTTCTTTAATGGGTCAGGTTAATCTTCCAACTCTCCAACTTGTTGTTTCGGACTTTTTAGCGTTTTTCGTCGACTATTTTGTTCTTTTATTATGACATCGATCTGTGAATCTTGCGAGTTCTGCCTACCCTGACTTGGATTTGGTTTTTGAAACTGTAACAGTTCTGGTGAATCTAATTATAGTTCATTTCCTCTCCTTTTAAAAACTGTGTGAAAATCAAGGGTAAAGTGTTTTTCTCTAAAAGCTGTGAAAATCAAAGTTAAAGTGTTTTTTTCAAAATAAAGTGTTCTGCTGTTCATTTCCAGTGCCCAAGTCATTCTTTTCTTTTACCTTCGGGGCGTTGGAGCAGATGGCAATTTACTTACACCTCGTATTACTTCGACAGCCAAGGTTAGTGGTCTTTGTATATGAATGAAGGATGCAGATTACGAGGGTGAGTTTAGAATTTTGGGAATGCATGAAATGTGTTTTGGGTCATGCAAACTTAAATCAGATTTACATTTCACAAATAAAATGAAATGAAAATGCTGGGAGGAGTAAGCAGTCGGAGTTCCAGTGCTACATTCCGTTTTGGAGCATCAGAAATGACCATATGTGTTTTTCCCAGGACCCGCCTAATAATGAAAGGACGTCAGTGGTCTGAACCGCATCTAACTTTAGCTAGAAGACGTGACTGTTATGTGCTGTTATGTCCCTGAGGCTTCCGGAATGTGTCTCACTATTGCGCTTTAGCACCTTTTTGTCAGGTCCACAATGCAGTGCGTTCTCCATATGAGATTTTTACAGAAGTGTGGTAATAAACTGAAACGGTTTGTCCACGCCAAATGTGTAGATTTTTAATGTTATCGGACGCTTCTTCATCGGATAAATTAGAGAGATTGAGATATTGATTTATCTACCAAATCTTTTGAAATGTTAATTTTTTGATCCAGAATACAAGGAAAAATTATATTTTTGTAGAATAACTTTCCCTTTCTTTTTTTGGGTCGACACAATGTAAATTTGAGTGAGACAGTTTACTGCATACGAATTATGCAGGATATTTTTGGGAGTTCAGAAATTGGAAAAATATAGCTGTAAAATTGGTGTTTATTTTATGCAAAAATTAAGATGAAAAAAAATGAGTGCACAAGAATTACACACAAATTATGGTAAGAAATAATAATGAGACAGAAAAATAATACCAAAAAATGTTTACATTGGATATAAATAAGAATTGAAAGAGTTAAAGGGTGTATTATTAGGATATGGAATTTTATTCTTTTCATGAATAGAAAAGGATTGAGAGTTTTTGCATTTGAATAATTGCTAATGAGTGAAATTTCATTGAGGCGATGAAATTATCATTTTCTGAAGGATTTTTGTATTTTCGTTGTAAATTCAATTCTTCGTATTTTTTTTTTTTTCACAATTTAGCAGTTCATCTAAGTAAAAAGATAAGCGTTTTTCCAATTCAAACGAGGATTTTTAGGATGGATACGTTGAACGTTATAGTTATGCATTCCGAGTTTCACTCTGAAAATCAAATCAGTTTTCATAGACTTTGTATTTTGAATATTACAACAGCTATCTTTTGAAAAGATCCAACGGATCGAATGCTTCGATTAATTTCTTTTAGACCATCGCTCCTTACTAGTTAAAAGGACCTTGATTACTGAAGCACATTTTTTTGCGAAATCATGCTGAGATCAAATATCAGGAATGAGCTCAAGCAATTTAATCATAATCCAGATCATCAATATTTTGAAATTGTCAGTGACTATTACGTCAAACTTACCTCGATAACATAATCCCTCGCATAAAAGCGCCTGTTATTGACGAAAGATGTGTTACCTTCTGGTGATACTTTAGCTTTACGATGCCATATTTCACCAGTACCATCATTATGGCGTCGCAATCCATCACTTTCACCTTTCCAACTTTGCATTGACCATTCATTCATGATATCATCTTTTTCATCACGTGTTATCCATTTATCCATTACACTTCTTTCCATTATTCCTTCAATAACAACAACTTATCAACTATTTTCATTAGCAAATAATAGCCATAACATGAAAAACTAATCATGCTATGAAACTTTCTCGTACTATTTAAATGTTCTTTGATTCTTTTTGTTTGTATTGTTTTGCTAGTGGTAACGATGGTAACGATAGCAATAATAAGTGGAGTAAATGAATTATTTATTTGATTCTTAGCTTTGGGTTCCCTTTCAACTTTTTCTTTTTTTTCCTTTCGTACTCTCTATTGGATTTTTAAGTGGTTAATCCGATAAAACTACATCGTAGATATGTTATTTCTAATTTCACTTCCATTTTTGCCTTTGTTTCATCTCATTTCATTACTTATTTTCATCATTCCTAATGCTATTGTTGTTGTTGAATTTTTTTTTTTAAAAAGCATTTTTAAATCCTAAACAAATAAATCAAGTGATACGATGAAATCTTTGATCATAGAAAGTATCTTCCCGTCGTTTTAGTTGAAAAAAAAAAAAAAAAAAAAA